TCTAAGTTTACAAAACCATCAATTCCCAGACTTCCAAACCACCAACCCAAACCACCACGTAAGCACAAGTTGACACTGTGTTGTGCCAGGCGTCCAGTTCAGGCAATATTATCTCAAAGGTTGACACACCTGCAACGCGGCTGAAGTATTGACGTTGAGGGGAAGCGCAAAGGTTAAGTTCCATTTCATCCTCCTATTGCAATTCCAGATGTTGCAGCGTTTCTGAGCGGCCCTCACAGGCCCAAGGTAGAATCCAAGTACAATCAAAATTCCATACAGCAGTCCTTGTCCAAATCATTACAAATTGCGAGACAGAAACGCAGACAGGTGGGACGGAATTGCAGCGCTAGGCTGAAAACATTTGGAGGCGGCAAGAAACTCCAAGCCATAGAATTCTACCTTCAGGATTGAATCCAGCGTCTTTACATAGATACAGTCGATACAAGTGCAATGATGCTTCGCTTTTCGGGTGTCAAGTCAGTGTGTACTCGGTGTAGGTCATCAGAGATATTCCTTCCCTCGGGGGATATTGGAGGTAGATCTAGTCCATGTTGTTATCTCCCATGCCATCAGCCTAGGCTTAGTGTTCTGCTGGATCCCGTCCCTGAGAGACGCAAAGGAGTTTGGCAGGACCGTCCAATTTCACTTCCGCTTTTAGATGGCAATACACCTCTATCCCTTCATACAATACCGCTACCTGACTCAAAATTCGTGGTTGTACACCTCAATCCTATCACTCCTTTTTCAGATGTACTTTGGGGTCTTTGGGCGTTTCCGGTTTTCACAAGGCAATCACGATCACTGGAAGATGTCATGCTGACAGTTGTTTTTGATGTGCATGCTACTATGGACCTCGCCAGTTGACTTTCTACCCACCAAATAGTCGCCATTTGATCACAGATCCAGTCTATTCCAAGGCGATAGAAGGAAGCGCCTACAAGAATAGCAACAGAGACATCCTAGAAATAGTAACATCAAAAGCAACATCAACGTGCATTGGCCCGCTCTCCCAGGAGTTGCGAGAGATGGAGCCGGTGATGGTGGCGAGATGGGTAGATTCGGGTAGATTTAGTTGGATGCCCAAAGCGAATCTCTGCCAAAATCTGAAATCATCAGATATCAGATTGAATTTGGGCAGCTTTTTAGATATAGCCCAAACACCTCAACGTTGAACCTTTCTGCGCACATGCACAGTGACTGTCATAAGTGGCAGCGCGTGAGCCTGACAGTTCTGGGAAGGTCTGGATTTTGTACAAGATGGGTGCTTGCCTTGCATTACGCGCAAACCTGACCAGAATCCTCACTAGCACTCAAAAAGGGAAGTCCTTTGTCGCATAGTAAAGTTACATGTTAAACTGCAGAAATCCATATGTTAAAGTGACCATCAGTGAACTATGTTTGGGTTTCTGGCAATTCGGATTGATGCAGGTGGAAGTCCAGGAGGAGCGGCACTTGGAGTCGTTGGGTTGTGTTTGGGACATCAGAATGTCTGGTAAGGATTGATCGAAGGAAGTTTAGAAGTCAAACTTCCGACAACATGGACAGATGAAAGCAGAGATGGAAAGAGTCAGAGAGAAGAGAAGAGTAGAAGCGAGAAGAGCAGAAGAGAGAAGATCAGAGAAGAGAAAGAGTCAGAAGAAAGAAGATGCAGCTGCGCGAAAAGGTAGGAAAGTCGCGAAACAAGGTGGTTTTCCAATGATTTGTGGCTCCGGAGGGTCGAAGAGTAGGCTCGCTAAAGCGGCGGGTGCGGAGCCAGCTGGCCAGATGAGAGATGGAAAAGTGCACGCCGTTGCGGCGCGAAGCACATGTCCAAGTCAAAATGTGCAAAACACATCAGGTTCGGACCACTTTTGGAAGTTGCAATGTCGAAAACGTGCACGCCGTTGTGGCGCGAAGCACATTTCGAAGTCAAAATGCACAAAACACACCATTCTCGGACCACTTTTGGAAGTTGAGATGTCGAAAAAGTGCACGTCGTTCTGGCGCGAAGCACATGTCGAAGTCAAAATGTACAAAACACACCAGCTTCAGAGCACTTTTAGAAATTGAGATGTCGAAAAAGTGCACGCCGTTGTGGCGCGAAAATGTTAAAAACACCAGGGGTTCGGACCACTTTTGGAGGTTCAGATGTCGCTTTGCGTGGCAAGCGCAAGGGATTGTGCACCTTGTCAAAAGTGCACTGAACGTGTGGGTTTTGTGGCATTTCCAAAAACGATGGCAGGCGTGGGACATTTGAGGAGGATCTGCCAAGATGCTTTTTCCGTGGCAGGCGCAGTACAAGAGATATGTTCATCAGAGATGTTAGGAGGTCCGGGCGCTGATTTCCTGAGAGGGGTTGCATTTTGGAACCTGAGATCTTCAGTTTTGGGAAGATGATTTTGCGTGACAGGTGCAGCACTTCGTATGACCTGGCCTCACTTTTTCGTGGCAGGCGCAGTACTTTAAACAGGTGGAGTGGAAAAATCGCGAAACGCATTGGTACGAGGCCGTCAGCGCTGCAGTCAACTTTCCATGTTTGAAGGAGGTCTCGCAGAATTGCTTCGGTTTTTGGATGTTGTCAAGTTCAAAAATTGAAGAAGTCTCGCAGAATTGCGTTTTTGACGTTGTCACGTGCAAACATTGAGGAAGTCTCGGAGAGAATTGCTTCGTGTTTGATGTTGTCAACGTTGAAAAATGAGGAAGTCTCGCAGAATTGCTGCGTTTTGGATGTTGTCAATTTTTAAAAATCTAGAAGTCTCGCAGAATAGCTTGGTTTTCAAGCTTGCAGATAGGTAGATAGATAGACAGACAAGGAGACAGAGAGATAGATAGCTAGCTAGCTAGCTAGAAAGATAGATAGATAGACAGATAGACAGGTAGACAGATAGATAGAGAGACAGATAGACAGATAGACACATAGACAGATAGACAGATAGACAGATAACAGATAGACAGATAGATAGATGGATAGATAGATAGATAGACAGATAGACAGATGAGATAGATAGATAGATAGCTAGATAGATAGATAGATAGATAACTAGATACACAGTTAGATAGACAGATGGGATAGATAGATAGCTAGATAGATAGCTGCATAGATAGAGAGATAAATAGATATATAGATAGATTGCTAGATAGATAGATAGATAGATAGAAATCTAGATAGATACACAGATAGACAGATAGATATCTAGATATCTAGATATCTAGATATCTAGATATCTAGATATCTAGATATCTAGATATAGATAGATCGATCGATAGATCGATAGGTAGATAGGTAGATAGGTAGATAGATATCTAGATAGATAGATCCATCAATCGATAGATTGATAGATAGATAGATAGATACATCGATCGATCGATAGAGCGATAGATCGATAGATAGATAGGTAGATAGATAGATAGATGGATGGATAGATAGATAGATGAGATAGATGAGACAGATGAGATAGATGAGATAGATGAGATAGATAGATGAGAGAGATAGAGAGATAGATAGATAGATAGATAGATGGATAGATAGATAGATAGGTAGATAGGTAGATAGGTAGGTAGATAGATAGGCAGGTAGGTAGGTAGGTAGGTAGTGAGGGAAAGAGAGAGAAAGAGAGGAGACCTCAAGCACCTTTCGGTCCATCAGTGGCTTCGCTCTGCCATCCGTGTTTCACAACAACCAATCTCTCCTATAGGTTTCCTATTTTTGAAACTTCCGCCACCGCCTTGTGCGGTACTACTGGTAAGCATGGATAAGTATTTTATTGTGAAGGTGTCTCATAACGTCATCATATCATATCTGACTATGCTGTCATGGAATGTCATGTAATGTCTTATAAGTCCATACAATTGACTCAATTGACATAGAGATTTCCATGCCAGGACACGAGCAGCGCAGCTCATTCACCACCCGCGCTGAAGGTCAACTGATGGTCCTGACCCTAGCGTTGTGACAGAGCTCAAGTCCCTTTCCACGGTTAGTAACAAAGCTGAACTCAGTTACACACTCTAAAGGAAACAATTACGCGCGGAATTTGGACATGTTACGGAGATTGACTTTGACCAAGAGGAACAAGTGAACTAGAACATGTGATCCATTCACATGCTGCACTTAGATGTTTGTTTATGGTTCATTTGCCTCTTGGAAGTGCACCATGCAGCACAAAGAGATCCTGACAGCATGTTCCACATGAAAGATTCAGTGATTCCCACAAGGGCAAAGCGCAAGCGTAGCGCAACTCTAAGGTCGGCTGCGACAAAGCCAGGGCCGACGGGGCAATCCGAAAGTCCCGAGGAAATTCACCGATTCAGATGAAATCGTGACCTAAGCGCACGTATATCTGATATATATATATATGTGATATATATGATTGATATCGGATATTGAAGAATATCCACAGGTGCTGATTTTTTTTTGTGGAATTGAAGCAGGGCTGTAGCGCAGAAGTTACTGTCTTGATCAACAAAACGACACTGGTTCAGACTTATAGAAATGTTGATTGGGTCGTTGATGCTTGGTAGATGCTGCACTTTTGAAATACTCTTGTCGTTGTTGTGAATTGAAAGGGGATGGGGCCTGGCAGTGATGTTTCGCATTGAGCATCAGCTTGATAGTTGCACTTGCTGGCACAAGTTTTTCGGTGGCTCTCGAATAGAGAAATAGTGTTGAGCCTGGATTTACCGTCACTTCCGGTCAGGACTTTTGGGCTGTCAATTGTTTGAATGTTAAAACAGCTGGCACGAATGCGACATTAGTTACTACAAGTCACAAACATGTGAGAGCGGTCTTGGGGGTTGTCCTGCAGTCAAGAAAATGTTGGCATGGAACCTTACAGGTTGGGTGAGATTCCTGCTATTTTTTGTCCCATGATGTGGATTGCCCTTCACTACAAAGACGTTTCTTCTAAACTGGCTGCTTTGCCGAGACAGTTTTTCAAGCTGAATTATAGATAGAGTTTGCGATTTTCCATCTTGAAATTGTTTGAATCAATCCAAGAAACATGCATGCCTGAGTCAAATAACATTTATCGGATCACTCCAGATTGGGAAAGCAGACAACAAGAGCATTTTGCTGCACATTCAAACAGGCTTAAAGGATCTTAAGGAATGTATTGAGAATTGCTGATCACCAAGGGTTTCCTTTGGGCACTGGCCCAGCTTCAATGCGGGCAACCTTCAACACGGCTTCGATGCAAACTTCACAGTTCGGGTCTTCAACTCGAAAACAGTCGGAGAATGTCGTGGTTCGAATGTCTCAGAATTTTCGCAGGTTCTTCCTGCACTTGTCTCTCCGGTGTCCCCACCGTGTCCTCTGATCAGAGCCATGAAGTTTGCGTTTGCACAAGCTCCAGATACTTCCAGATAGTTCCTATTTCCATCACTTGGTGTGACTCTGAAGAGGCAAGGGCTGCTTGGCTGACAGCCATGTCTTAGGTGATGGCTCAACCGCATCAGCAGCAACCTTGGATAGAATCCATCGCAATATCTGTGGGAACAATTGTCGAAAGTTGATGTGAAAGATTGTTGAGCCATGCACAGGCGATTCTTTTCAATCTAGCTGGAATCCTCACCCATTTGCCTGGTCGTTTGGTTTTGTGTTGGGCCCAGGCCCAGTCATTCCATTTGAATTCCAAGCATTCTGTGGTAAGCGCGCTGCATCAGCATCCAGGGTTTCAACCTTTTTATGAGGAACACTTACCTGCGTGCACGTGTGTGTGTGTGCGCGCGTCCAGAGTTTCAAAACCATTTACTGTACGCATGTTTTGCAAGATTTATGCGTTTTTTACCCACTTTACCTGCCAAGAACATAAATAAACAGTTCAGTTTCATGACATTTCTAGTTGTACGAGAAGGATTTAGCAAATTGGTTTGGGTTTCGGAAGGAGTGTTTCAAAAATGTTTCAAAAACCAACTCGGGCATGGAAAGCCTCGAAAATTCGCAGAGCTTTCCATGCGTGTGTCAAGCCTATGCCAGAAGCGGAGTAATTTTTATGGCCAAGACAATTCCGAATTTCCGATCGCTGTTAGGCGGGTCATACGATGTCTACAAATTGTCACTACATTGAAAAACGAGTAAGAGAATTTTGGACCGCACCTTCGGCATTTCAATGGTGTACTCTGATCCAAGACAGATGTCCCACCAGGTTGGACCAAGCAGATGTCCTATTCTGTAGAAATAGTTTGATTCACTTTTCTTGCAGCAAGTAGTCAGATACATCGCTTTATTTTTCTGGTGAAAGAGTGGATAACATATGATATTGTTGAGGAAATCCTGCATCAGCTGTACTCTTGAAGGAATCGATATTGGAAGTGTTGCCAGGCAACTTCTAGCAATGCATATTATGCGTTCTTTTCTGTCATCCTTGGAAGATAACGATCTTAGGTTTTGGAACGTGGTTTGCATCTCCGCTTCTGACAGCACCCTGCTCGAATTACTCTGATTTTCAACACTGGTGTTGGAATGCTCTTTCATGTAGCGAGCCAATCTTCTTGTCGCCTGGGGCCATGCTACGGAAAGTAGAACTGGCCATGGGTGGCCTTTAGAACTTGCTCTTTTTCCCAACGGCTACAATCTCTACACAACTTCGACATATTTCGGCTGGCTCCAGGTACGGCCCGAACCAGGTCCGCTGGTAACCTGGTACCACATAGGTCTGAAGGGTGCAGAGGCGGATGTTTGATGGATGTTTCTTGTTGTTTCTTTATTTTCATGTCATGGCAGGGACATGTGTTCTCCTCTAATCGGAATGCTGCAGAGTGTTACAAGCTGCTTCTCGATGGTTCTGACAGAGCCTTCAAACTCTTGCTTGCATCGTGTAGAAACCTTTGCTCTAATCAGCAAGGTTTTGAATTTGAAACCCTTGTTCAGGTGGCTCGCTTCACGGAAGACAGAAATTCGGGGAAGTCGGGGAAGTCTAGTTTTGAGTTTGTCAAGGCCAAGATCGAACCCACTGTGAACCTTTCGCCAACGCGCACTGCGCCCATGAGAACAACTCTTGAATGCCGTCCAAAATGGCCAGTGGCACAGCTTCGAGCTCAACCGACCCAGCGTGAGAGCAAGAGGCAGCAAAAGGACGGATGGATGTACACTTGAAGGCTGCCCCCAAAGAAAAACGTGAACATGCTTATGACATAATTTCAGAATCTCCCTTTCTTCCGGGGGGACAGGTTACGTCTGGCTTGATCTTTGCTGCAGACTCCTCTCTTGCATCGATGTTCCTTTCAAAAAGGCTGCAAGCTCCAGCCCAAAGAAAAACTTTGAAGGGCAAGAAGGTCTGCAGGGAGCTGGCGCCGAATTAAGTCCCACATCAGAAACTAAAGCAGATACTGCTAGTACTGCTAGTGCTACCAACATACGACAATGCTGCTCTTTTGAAAGCTGTCAGAAATCTGTAAACACGACTTTTCCTTGTGCGTTGAACCTTGGGTGCCTATGTAAGTCTCTCACAGCGACCATGAAATAATGTTGCAATTTGTAAATGTGGCAAGAAACTAAAGAACGCTGCATTACTAGTTTTGGAGATCGTGAAGCCTAGCCATGGCCAAACTTGAACAAGACAGTGGATTGCCAGCATGGACACCCATGACCGTGACAGCCATGACCACTACTATGATCAGGAACAGATGGCCACGAAAGGCGCAACCAACGTTGTACACCACTAAAACACCACAGCCGCAGTAGCAGCAGCATGTACCTATGAAGGCTGGCAAAAACGGACCGCCAAAAAAAGTGATCGTCAAGTACTGTGTCGAAATCAAACGCCAATGGAATGCCTTCAAACTTCAGACACATCCCTTAGTGAAGCGAACTGAAACCTGAAATACTGAAAGCATGCAAGTGGCCAGCAAACAAGCAGGTTTGCATGAGAGTTCGAGAAAATCCAAGCCAAATTGTAATCATTTCTAGATCCTATGTTCCCTGGCAAAAGACTTCAAACAAATTTAATCCCTATGTTTGGAAAAATGGCTGGCGTACGAAATTGAAGTGTCTAGACCTGAGAAGATGTTGCTGTAGGCTAGCTTGATGCTTTGTTTTGCTCATTTAATGAGTTGCTTAATGATGCTGAAACCAGTTTGCTATTCCTATGCTCATTTTAGAGTGGCCACGAGTTCGTTAAATTTGGAAAGCTTGCATGCATCATCACTATTACAATCTGTTAGTTTAGTTTGACCATTTGACAAGATTTGGTGAAGATTTCATTTCGTGTCATTGATCAGTTCAAGTTGGCGCGCCTATGTTCCATGCAATCCTTCCTTTGCGAAAACTTCCACCATGAGAAGTGCCCGGCACGAGCCCGGCCCCCTGGTACGAGCAGCACACTGTGCAAATGAACCCAGAAGACTTAAGTGGCTTTGGAGTATCCAACTGCTGTATGTGTTAGAATTTACAAGCCATTTCTGGATCAGACCCCGCACATAGAAATGGCCTTGTGCTTTCAATCCATAAGTTTGCGGTGCGAGTTTTTTCCGATCGTTTGAAGTGTGGAGTGCCAAGGGAAAGCTGCACGATTGGCGTTTTCGTCCTGGCTTCATCCGCAGGTTCGGATAGCATGGATTCGATGATTCGATGAATAGCTGAAGCGAGTCGTAGGAATGTTTGAAGCAAATTAAATCATGTAAGGCCCCTGTGGGGCGCTCCAAAATAAAATCATGGGGCTTGGGCCCAAAATATTTTTCGGAAGTGCCGTTGAGGGGTATTGGTGGATTGGACCCATTCTATTTTCTGGATGGGTAGTAGGTTGGGGCCCTGCGAATTTCATTTTTTGCCTGTGTCAGTTGCAATACTTTTAGGAAATAATATGCTATGTATATGCCTTATCCGACGTCACAAACATAGGTCAAGAAATCCAAACCCCGATTAGCTGTCGTCGTCCCAAGTAAAGATTAGCTGACAACTACAAATGCAGCAGTATCTGTAACAAAGTAGAATTTTCCTGAATGCGTAGCAAGGGTTCCCATTTCACTCTAGGGGTGTGAGGGTTGAGGGTGTGTTCGCTGGACGTTGCGTTTGCGTCCGCAACCGTTCGCAACCGTCCGCAATGGTCCACGTGAGGACAGTATGGCCGTGCGCCTGTTGCGAGTTCTGCAAAAGCGGTCACTTTTGGAGGTTTCAAACGTCGCGTAGCCTCGTTTCGCGTGGCAAGCGTTGCGTTTTGTGACATTCCAACATGTTTCTTAACGTGTCGAAAGCCGTTTTCTGTGGCAGAACGTCAAGTGGTGCCAACGCGCAAATTCCGTGGCAGCCGTAGCATTTTGCGGCATGTGATGAAAATTGACGGAAGCCTGGAACGAAACATCGATTTT